CTACCTGCCTCTCTCACTCAGACGCCTGCGGCCCCGATACCGTCCTCCTGATTCGTCTCCTACCTCTCCGCCGCCTCTTCATTTCCTCGGGGGCTCCTGTCCAGGGTCCACCTGTAACAGTGGCTCTCCTTTACTCCCTTCCCCTCCGTCTACCGTCCCCCGGGGGTCTCTCTTTCTCCCAGACCTTTTCCTTCTGTTTTTATGCTACTGACTCCCAAATTATTACCTCCAGTCTAGACCTGCAAACTTACTTATTCAGCTGCTTTCTAGATAGAACCTTTAGATGCTGCCCAGAAGCTTCAAACTCAACAGAGCCGGAATTCCTTTCCCTGGTCCACGCGGTTGCCTGGCTCAGCCGTCCTTCCTCCTGGCTTCCTGGTCTCGTATGACGGCACCACTAACTGATCAGCTGCCCAACCTAAGAACTTAGAAATCTCTTTCTATAGTGAAAAAATACATATTTATTTATATAAAGATATACACATAAATATGTTTATATTTACATATATAAATTTTTATTATAGAAGATTTTAAACGTATACAAGTAGAGAGAAACGGATGTTCTCAACACTAACTTCATAATTATCAATCTGTGGCCATCAACAATTCCCCCTATTCTTTCACCTCCCAGATTCTTTGGCTGGAATCCCCAGCACCCTATCATTCCATCAGTAAAGATTTCGGAGGTACCTCTACGAGATGAGGCTTTGGGAATGACTGGCTGCTCTCCTTCTTTCTTACTGCTAACATCAATTGGTGATATTACAGTTTACCTCAAAGGCTCCCCACAGTTTTGATAAAGTCCTACGTCCTTCCCCACCGGCACACCTGGTTCCACTGGGCCCTGCTGCCTGTAGTTTCAGGGCCTCCTCTGCCCCCCACACCTTGTGCTCCAGCCACACCATGTGCCTGGCAGCTCCCTGAAGACACCGCAGCCTCTGCACACGCCCTGCGGCCTGGACGTCCCTCTTCTCCTGGCTGGGGCACACGGTGAAGCTCAGGCTAGGCCCTGCTCGCTTTGAGAAACCCTCCTGTCTTCCCTGGTGCAGGAGGCATCCCTCCTCTGACACCTGTGTCACCTCTACAGTGCTTACAACATGATACTTGGCTTGCAGACCGACTGTCTTTGTCTTTCCCTACCACACTGAGCGCTTCGAGGGCAGGAACTGTGTCTTCTCTCTGAATCCCTAGAATGCAATACAGTGCCTGGGGTGAGGTAGGTCTCATATATTTGTGGAACGAATGAGTGACAATGTCAAGAGCAATTTCAGAGAAATACTTGAAAGGCTGAATTGCAAGGAAAGGATAGGGAAGGAAATGGGGAGGGGCAAGGGCTGCAGAGAGACTGCAGACCGCAGCGTTTCAGGCTTGGGAGCCGAGGCACTGGTAGCGGCAGTGGCAGAAGGGAAAACCTGGCAGTTAAGCTAGCTTGTGAGAGGTGGCGACGAAATCCAAAATTTGGTACAAGTCAAATGTAGTATGTTGGTGGAATATCCAATAGCACAGTGATTTAGGAATAGAAAGATGAAGGACAATAGACACAGAATACTCGGAGGAGAGCACGAACACGGCAGAGAAGGGCTTACAGAGTGAATGGCTTGTCACAGAACACTGCGGAACAGCACGGAGTCCAAGAAGAGCCCTGTGGGTGCCTGTCCGTCAGCACGTGCAGATGGTGGCACGCCGCGCACATTCTCGTATTGCTGTGTATGGGGAGCTGGGTGGTCATGCACCAGAGGACATTAGAATTATTTTACTAGACTTACAGGACTTAATACATTGAGTTAATATTTAGAACAGGGCTTAGGCCATAAAAAGCACTCAAGCCTTAGCTGATGATCATCAGCTTATTATTATTTGGTCTTTGGTAGTTGGGGTCTTTCTAACTTACCCTCTGGGCCGAAGATTCCAGGGCTTTCTCTGCCCACACTCCTGTGGAAGCTATGAAAATCTCCGACCCTCTCACTCGTCAGGGAACATAGTAAGAGATTGTGACGAGGACTCATTTAGTGAAGAGGTGACAGATGAAGTTACAAAATCAGCCACACTGTCGAGGAAGAAAATGTGAAGGAGGGTGGAATACCATGGATTCTGTCTCAGAAGGTGCTCATGGTGCGGGACTAATCGCAAACTAGGGCACCAAGCAGCTGGGGCACAGAAGCCAGGAGACAGCTCTGGAGCCGCGGGGGTGGCAGAAGCCGGATGAGGGAGGGAGGCTGCTGCAAAGGCCTCTCCACAGGGTCAGGGCACCAGGAAGGCTGAGAAGAGGGACTCCGACTGGGCCCCATCTGAGCAGGAAAGGGCGCTGCGAGCAGGGGCATTTCAGGGCTAAGGGGTGACAGAAGCGAGCAACGGCTTTACTTAGTTCACTTGGAGAGGTTGAAGGATGGCAGGTGGACCTGGGATGTTTGAAGGGGAAGGAAGACCCAGAGGAGAGGCAGAGACTGGGTCGGAGATGAAGGAGCAGGTTTCGCCTCGCTGGCAGAGGGTTCGCCAGCAGGCGCAGGGCACAGGAAGGATAAAAAGATAGGTGCACAGGGTGGCCGGGAGCCCCCCATAAACACAGACTCCCCTGTGTGTGAGACACTCCCCCAAACCCCACTCTCACTCTCCCACCCTCTGGCAGAGTTTTGAGGCCCGGAGTCAGATCTGAAGGAGCTGCGGGGAGAGGAGGGAGGCGGGAGTGTGGGTGACACAGGTGGAGGAGGAAAGAATTAGAATAGAACGTTCAATATCGTGATCTGGTAATGGTGGCATGAGTGTCTATGTGTGTCCAAGGGCATCGAGCTGTGGACTAAGATTGGTGCATTTTATTATATGTACTCCAACAAAAGAAAAATTATAAAAGTAACTATTGGTAAGGAGGGAAAATAATAATAAAAGAACCGAGAGGCCCTAATCTCTTTTTCCACATATTCTCCTGCCAGTGAGGAGAAATGAAAACCTGTCGGCTCCAGAGCCACCCTGCCCGATGAGGCAGCTACTAGCCAGATGTGGTTATCCAAATCTAATTATAAAACTGAAATTTAGTTCCTCAGTCACACTGGCCTCATTTCACGTGATCAATAGCCTTATATGGCCAGTGGCACTGAATTGAGCAGCACAGATAGAGAACATTTCCATTATCCTAGGAAGTTCTACTAGACACACCACTGCTCTGGAGTCGCAGAGGCATTTTACCTGCTCTTCAATCTCAGCAACACTCAGCCCTCTCCCCCCCCACCTGGCAGAAGTTCACTTTCCAGCCCTCAGACCCCGACTCAGGTCTTGGTAGGAGAGACCATAGCTTGGCCATTGGCGAAGGAAGGTTTCCTGACTGTCTAGGGCTGAGCCGCTCTATCTATTCTAACTGGACTTGAACCTCCGAGCACGCCCACAGCTTGTACCTTCCCTGCTGTCGGCTCTGGTGTCAACAGAGTCACAGCAGAGGGACAGACACGTTGGCTGCCTCCCTTTCAGCCGAGTTCACTGCCCTTCACTGCCCTCCAGCCCACGAAGGGCTCCACCTGCCCAACTCCCTGAGCCGTCGCCCCCTTTGGCTCCCTCCGCCTCCCTCCCCTCGCCCGTCTCCCGCTTCCCCCAGGGCGACTGTCCTCTCTCAAGCCTCCTGCAACAAACAGCGGTTGCCCAATGCCTCTGCTCCTAGGGCAGCTTGTCAGGCTGGGCAATGCCTCCCCCCCCCGGTTAGTGGGAAGCAGAGGATACCAAAGCCAGAAAGGCCTCTTGCCCTCTTCTAAGTCAACCCCTCATTTGACAGGTGCAGCTGTGGGCCACAGTCACTTAGATGACAGGAAGCGGGAGGTGAAAGCTAAAGGCTCACTGTCTCCTAGACTGGGAGCGCAGAGCCCGGGGTTCTGGCTGGACCGCATTCCTGGGACCGTTCCTGCGCTCTCCTCCTCGGCTCACGCCTCCTGCCCCTTCCCAGATAGCATTCCTTTTACGGACAATGCCGTGACTGGGCCCAGGAGTTACTTCCACACAGCGGGGAACTGGGCAAGTGGTGGCCGTGGTCAGGGAGCGTGAACAGGACTTCTCTTGGAGAGAGCTCCTCCAAGGAGGCAGCGCCACACCCCCGAGCTCCCCTGTCTCTGGGACTGCCCCCCAGGGAAGCGGCCGGGACCCCCACCCCAGCACCCTTCTTCGGCCCCTCCTCCTGTCCTTGCTCTGGTTGGGTCCCTTCCTAGGAGGATGGGGACGGTGAGGCTGGAGCTCTGGTTCAGACACAAGACGTGACATGCTTCAATGTTCACAAGAAATAGCGAATAACTCTGCTTGTCAAAATTCCTCAAGGGAAAAAAAAAAAACCCCAAGGAGCTGGAGGCCAGGAGAAGTCTCCCGAGGGAGCCTGGGAAGTCTGCAGACAGACGACCCTGTAGGCCGAGCACCTCGATCCGACCTCCCTCTTCTCTGGCAAGGCGCTCAACCTCTGCGCTTGACACAAGGCCACATCTCTCCCAGACCTTCAGATAGTTCCAGTGGCCCTGGGGTGGTGGAGGTGGGGGCAGAGGGTGGGCAGCGACCGTCCAGGGGGACATCCGTGATCCCACCCCTCCTGGCAGACCCCATCTGACTCCCTATTAGACAGCCCGAGAAGCAAAGGAAGCGACTGCCGGCCCCCCACTCCACCTGAAGGCCACGGGATGAGGGGGACTGTCTGGCAAGTTCTTAGCATGGGAGCCAAATGCTGGAAGGGGCATCTTTCAGCTCCTGCCTGGTCTCGCCCTGCCGTCCCTCCCCACCCCTCCCTTCTGCCTGTCCAACCCACTGCTCAGCAGCTCCTTCCCACTGCTGGTAACTCAGGAGAAAGGTCTTGTTTCAGCAGCCAAGGGACAGGCCAACTCAGAAGCAGTAACATGCCCTAAAATGGCCAAAGAAAACTCCCCAGGCCTGGCTGGGGCTCCAGGAAGGGGGTGGAACCCTGCAGGGAGGGTGTGTGCAGCTTCCCGTCACCCTGCCCCAAACTTCAGCCCAGGATTAACCCCCTCCTGCTGAGGACTTACCATTCCACAGGACCTCCAGGGAGCGGGGAGACAGTGGGATAGCCTTGTTCTCTTTCAACACGGGGCTGGCATAGGAAGCCAAGTAAGGGACAGACGTCCAGATCTATTCAAGGGAGCGGGGGATGGTGAGTGAGCTAACACGACTGATGTCACCCCTGCCCCAAAACACACACTTTTTCTCTCTCATCAACTTCGCCTTCAGGGCTCAGCTCTCTTTCCTTCCTCTCCTGGTCACCCTCCTCCACTCCTGACACTCCTGCTGGCGCACAGGTGTGCTCCCTACGGCACCAGACCAAGGACCCAGAGGAAGGGGCTGGGTCCAGGGTGGCGGATGAGAACCAGAGCACCCTGAAGTCCCGAGCTACACTCAGATCCCACTCACTCTCTACCGACAGTCTGGAAATTGCCACCAGTGTTGCACCTGCTTTGTCACTCGTAAGATGGCTATCAACTGGGATGAGGGGAAACGGAATGAATGAGCATTTATTAAGCACCCACGACATGCCAGGCAATGTTTCAGGCATGCGGCCCCCTCCCTCGGTCACTCCACACTGGGCCCCCTGCCCTGCCCACACCTGTTCACCTTGGCTGCATTAACGAGTCTCCAGGCACTGAGCAGGCCAAATCCATGCTGGTGGCTGTGGCTGAAGCCTGCCTCATTGGTGGCCCAGTCCGCATGGTGGTCCTCATACTGACAACAGAGGCCCTGGTTAGCCTCCTGGATTCCCAGGAGCCTCAGCAAGCTCACTCTGGCCACCCCCTCCCCCCTGGTCTGCTGGCTGATCCAGGCCAGGCTCTCCCACAAACACCACTAGGAATGGATTCCCCAAGGGAAGCTGGGACGCAAGGTCAAGCCCCATGCCGTCACTACAGCGGCCTGCTTCTACAGAGGGAGCCAGGAGTCCCAGCTCCAGAACGAGGGAGCCCAGACAGAGCTCTCCCTTGCAGGTAAAACAGCATCTGCAGAATGGGTGCAAATGAGTTTAGATCTGTGGTCTGGGTCAGGCCCCTGCACCCATTCTATGCACATGCAACTCTGAAGGGATTCGGCACCTAACACTGGGACACCTGGTATAATCGGAAGCCTCCTGACCCCTGCACAGTCCTGGGCCCAGAACTCTGGGGTGGTCTGGGCCAGGCCGCAGGTCCGCCTGCTAGGCTCTCACCTGCGTGGCTGTGAAGACAATGATGTGCTGGACGTCTCGCCAGGTGAGGCAGGGCCGCACCTGCAGCATCAGGGCTATCATGCCCGCTGCAAGCGGGGCTGCAGCTGAGGTCCCCGTGTGGCCCTCCGTGCAGCCCGTGCCCTTCTGAAGGTCCCAGTCAGTGGTCACCTGGCAAGCAGAGGAGGGCAGGGGGCTGGGTTAGGGGCTGGGTTTACAGGTGCTGCGGAGAGGGGGCAGGGTTGGTTCTCTGAGAGCGCCTGGGGGCCCCTCCTTGGTGAGGGCTGGAGCTGTGGCCAGAGTGAGGCCCGTGAGCAGGCTGGGACAATGCAGGCCTCACAAGAGGCTCTCTGGAGAACTGAGAGGACAGTTGGACAGTTACCTGTGAGGGTCTGGCCGAGGGGGCAAGGAGATGGGGACATGGGGGACGCCTTAGGTGCCGAGCTGTTTCCCGATTCCTGCTCCTCTGATAACTCCCTGATTCACCACCCCGGCCCCTCTCGCCACCTGCTACCGGGCAGCCTTGCTAGACGGGAAGCAGCCGGGGCAGCTCTGGGGCCCCGACTAGAGCTGGGGCAACACTGACGGCACCGTTCAAGGAAAGCCCAGCCGGCAGGGCTGGAGTGACACGAGTGCAAGCAAAGGAAGTGCGTTCCCGGGGAGGGGGAACGCACGGCCCCCTGGCCCCTGGGGGCCAGCCTGGGTGGGCGTCTGCAGCCCCTGCCGGCCTGGCCGTGGCAGGCCACAGGACCCGCTGCCTCCCTGCCTCAGCCCCGTCTTCACCTGTGGTTCTGAGGTGGGAGGTGAGGGCAGGGGCAGGGGAGGAGGAGGTCGCCTGGGGAGGGACGGCGTCTGCCTGGCATCAAGCCCTTTCCAAGCTCCCATCAACCCTGGAGCCAGAGGTGAGCAGAGGTGGGCCCTGCCTAGGTCTGCTCCACTAAGTGGCACTTGGGTCCAGCACATGGTGCCCATATGAAGACCAGAGAAGTTTTTCTTCCAACCTTCTCTTTGGGGATCAGAAACCAGTGTGCCAACAGCTGCCTTGCCTCCGTTATACTCACTGCTTCCCTCCCAGTTGTTATGGCAGCTGCCAGGAGATGTAATTTTCACTCAGACACCATGCAGGTTTCACTCAAAAAACTATCCGGGTTGTGGTCTCAACGAGAGTGGGAAGCCCGCTCTCTGCCAGGAAGCAGGTTTTTTTTTTTTCCTGTTAAGGGAACAGCCTCTCGGTGGCAGTCCGCTGGGCAGCTGTGGGGCCCATGAACTTGCCTGTAGTGGCAGAGGCCCAGGCAGCCATGGGAAGGTCCAGCCAAGTGCCCCCCACAGCCAGAGGGTGGGCAACAGATGCCCTGCCCTCAGGGAGTCAGCTCCACCGAGCTGGCCATTGGACAAAAAGTGTCTACGGGAGGTGTCTCCGAGGCAAGGCTGTCCCAAAGATGGAGATGTGACTGAACGATCTCTCTCTTCATTTCCGGACAGTTCAGGTGGAAGGTGGAGGCTAGGGTGGGAAGCGGCGGTGAGTTCAGAGAGTTTATGCCAGGGAGCTGGGAGCCTTCTTGGCCTCCAACTGAGGCCAGGATGAGCAGCTCCTGGTTCCTGAGGGTTCTGCCAGGGCTGGAAGAGCACAGCACATTCCTGCTCCTCCCCCCAAGCTGGCCTGGCCTGAGGTGGGTGCCCTCTGCATCGGAACCCAGCCTGCCGAACAAAGCCTCCGGCCCTTTTACTGTAGTTGACTCCCTTTCCTCCCCTCCCCAGGGTGAGGGAGGGGGCTGGGGTCAAGAGGCACAGAGACTTGGAACACAGGGTTGACCAGGAGTCCACTAGCAAAACACAATTTCAGTTTTGGAATATGAATTTGACTCCATGAAGACAAAGCAGCCTAGCTGCCTGTGGCCCCAGAAGGGACCTCCCAACCCGGGCCACTGGACATCTGACACCACCTGGCACCAGCTCAGCTCTTCCCAGGAGCCTGCCGTGCCTGGATCACCCTATTGGGGGCAGCTGCCCTGCGACAGGTAGGGAGGCCTAGGGTCACAGCCCAGAGACCTGGCTTGCACCTGCTGGGATGGAGCTCAGCCAGCTGGGAGCGGGCACTAGACCCTGAATTCTTGAAAACGCTCTCATAGCCAGAGAAGCCCCTCTCCCTTGCTCCAATCTCATTTCCCCCAAGGGGAAGCTGCAGCCCCCAGGAAAGAGCCGCCTCTCGGGCTGAAGGAGACATTCCCGGCTCCTCTCCCCGCCCACCCTGTAAGGACGGTGCCAGCCTTACTCCTGGGAGCAGAGGCCCAGGACTCACGGTGTGTATGGGAGGCTGAAGAGCAGCGGGGTGAGGTTTGTTTCAAGCCCACAGAAATTAGTCAAAGCCCAGATTCTACCGAAGGAAGACAATGAAAAGTCCTGTAATCAGTGTGACACTTGGTAGTTCCTGCCGTGAAATATACTTTCCACTTTAAAATTTGAAACTGAAAAACCATGCATGCAGATTGAGTTAGAGTCCTCAGCTCCAGCTGCCCAGTGGCACGGCCCTTGAGACACGGACCCGCCAGGGAAGAGGACCCTGAGTGGGCACAGGGGCAAGGAGGGGACACTTGGGAGGCACTCACGATGCTCCGCAGCATCTTGTCCCCGCCGCTGAAGGTGACTGCCAGCATGGAGGCACACTCCTCCGCATAGAAAGGCATCCGGCCCTCCTCGTCCACAGCACCTGGGGACAGAGCAGTGGAAATGCAAGCTGAGATGAGGGCCTGATAATATCACAGTTATCTCCGAGTTATCATCCGGGAGGCTGTCCTGACTTTAAAAAATGAACCTCGTGGCCCAAGACTCTCAGAGTGTCCACAACCCTGCCTGAACAGGCAGCCTCAAATGGCAGAGGGCGTTCTGTGCCTTCATGCAACCTAATGCGACAGGTCTGGGTAAACCTGGGGGCATTCCCCCCTGAACCTGTTCATCCACCCACACGTTCATTTTCCTCAACATGTACTATCTACTGTGAGTCCCAGTGGGTGGCACACACACACATAGATGCCAGACTCACAGCCCCTCCCACTAGGCGACACACACACACGCGCACGTGCTCCCGGAGCCCAAGGCGGTACCGATGGTGACCGTGTAGATGGAGTTGGCGTAGCCGTCGTAGTTGCAGTTGTCACTGTGCTGGCCCCCATTGCCGCTGGCCACCACGAAGATGCTCCCGAAGCCCTGGCGGCCTGCCAGCACTCCATGCTGCAAGGCGGCCTGAGGAGCAGACGCGTCGGGGGTCAGCCGGGGGAAAGACCTCCACCTTCCTACCAGCCGCTCTCTCCCTGCCTTCTACAAAGAGAAGGCAAAGAGCCCAAAGGCACTGGGCACAGGAGAGAGAGACTGAGGGAGGGGCACAAGGTGAGGATGCAGCTGTCAGCTGAGCGGCTGTTGGATGCGTGTACGCTGCTTATCTGATAGGACAGGCCAGACACGGGGGCAGAGCGCACAACCAGAGGGTAACAACCAAAAGCACTGTTTCCTCTCTCTAAGAACCAGTGTCCCCCACACTCCCCTCCTCCAGGTTAGGAGCATCCTTCCCAGAGGAGGCGGGCATTGCAAACGGGGCTGTGGGAGGGAGCAACCTGCAGTAGTTGTAGGAGCTGAATGAAGAGGGTGTCCTGGACCCCCCAAAGTCTGCCTGTAGCTCAGTTACCTTTCCAAGCTGGTGGGGGCCATCCACCGTCTTCCCATCGTCATCGGGTCCCCAGCTGTTGAGAAACACCCGGAGGGGGGAGCCAGGGCTGGGCTGAGGCTGCACACCGGGCCTCCTGGGACAGGGTTTAAGGGCTCAGCCCTCATTCCCAAGGGGAAACTGAAGTGTGTGCTATGGTGCTTTACCTTGGAAACCAGCCCCGTTTAGCATTGCTCTATCCCGCCCCTAAAAATCCTTTCTCAGGCCCCAGGGAGCAGGAGACAATACATAAAGAAGAAAGGGACAGGGGACCACCCTTCTCCCGAGCTGGGGATCCAACACTAGGCTGGATGGCAGGGCACCGTGAAGGGAGTGTTCAGTCTGGGCAGGTTCTCGGGTCTGAGGGGCTCTCTAGGAGGAAATGCACACTGTGGATGACGTCATGGATTTTAGGGAGGTACTGCCCGGGGTGTAACGGGTGTCCTCAGTACCTCAGTTCCTCCATACTCCTGCCCTCACCCCACCCACTGCCATGCCCCCGGCCCTGCCTTAACCATAACCTGGAGCTGCAGGTGCATTTACGTGTGTAGAGCTGGTGCTGGGCACTCAGCTCAGCTGTGGCTGGAGACAGCCCACTTTCTCCCAGAGGCCTATAAATTTATTAAATAAGTGAACAGGGGGCTGGCTGGAGCACTCGTGTGGCATCCCAATTACTGGGGTGACCTGAGACTTAAGCCTGAGAACCCAGTGGCTGGGGATCTGGACACAGGAAGGGGAGGGACCAGGCCGAGGCCTGTGAGAAGACGCTGCTGGCCCCTACCCATCAGCCCATTTTGCTGTCCTTTTGTCAGGATTTGTCCCAGGTGCCCCGGCCTCTCGCCCTCTCACCCTCCCTGCCCTGCCTCACCTGCAGCTGTAGATGTCATTGATCTGATAGTGCTTGTTGAAGGCCACAGCCTCCATGCTGTCCGTAAGGGGGCCATCCAGGACACGGATACCTAGGCAGTGAAGGCCAGCTCCTCAGTGACGCTGGTCCCCTGGATGGGGACCTGGGGGGTGGGGGCTACATGTGGAGACTGGCTTTTCTCTCAAAGTGCTGCTGTATCTCTTCAATTTTTATGTGTGTGCCTGTCCAGAAATGTTTTTAACGTAATGTTAAATCTTAGACTTTAAGGATCATGGGAAGAGGCTAGAATGCAGGGAGCTTTGTATCTGCATGCTTAACCACATAAAACACTGGTGCAGTGCTTCACCCATAGGTGTTCGATAAATGGTACTTATTACCCTGACTACTCCCACAGATGCCTAATTTCACTCTGTAAGATGGGGTGGGTCCCATCCTGGTGAGCACGCAGGGACAAAGCTGTCAGGAGGGACCCAGGCCCTGAGGGTGTCCGGCTCAGTGAGGCCTTGTTTACAGAGAGGGCTGCTGACCTCTGCTGGAGGGTAAGAGGAATGCAGCCGGCCACTCAGTCTGCAGGTCCCACTTATGGGGGATCAGGGGAGGGCTTCCCCATTCCTTGCCTTCATGAACCTTCTGCCTTGATGGACAGAGACTGGGAGGTGAAGGAGCCTTAGAACAACCCCGCCTGGGGGCTGGGGCTGCTCAGCTCTCTGGAAAGAATGGAGAGCAGACAGTGGTCATCAGAAGGGCCGGGAGCCTGAGTGCTGGGAGGGAGCCTCCGCGGGCATATGGGCCAAGGGAGGGCAGGTGACAAGGTGCTCAGTGAATTACGGAAATGCAGACATAGGTAAGAGAAAGGAGCCACCACTACAGCGAGCTGGGTCACTGATGGAGCACAACCACGGTCAGAATAAGGGAAGAGGAGGCCCAGCAGGCTGGGCTTGAGGCCTCCACCCCCCACCCAGAGCGCTTCCATGTTTACCTGTTTTATATAGTAGTTGGCTGCTAAAAACATGTTTCGAACACCACTGCACTGAAAAAAATCAACAAATTGATATGCCCTACAGATGAGCTATTACAGATTTACCCTTTGCTCTCTGCTGTGTGTGCTGCATGTGGGATTAAAAACATTTCAGAATTCCGAGGGAGGGCAGGGGGTGAAGGCTGTGATGACAGGAGCCGAGCGAGGCTAGCTCGGAAAGTACCTGCCACGCGGCTCCCGTACGCCACTCCCACGGCACAGAAACTGTTGTTGGGCACGGCGGCGATCTCTCCCGCACACCGCGTGCCATGGTAGTTGCCATTCTCCGCATCCGGGTGGGGCATAGGGTCCGGGTCGTTGGAGTTAAGGTCATAGCTGCCCTCAGGGCTCTGAAACATTGGGGGAGGGTGACATGTGGTCACCCACTGCTTCTAAGGGGCCAGCTCCTGGAGCTCAGGGGGGCGGGAACCGGGAGGGCGGGCCTCCAGACCAGCGCAGCAGGGCCCTCTCTCCGCACACCGAACAGGCTGTGAGACACGAGGACAAAACACACTGGGGCAAAAACACCAAGTGCCGGACCTCAGCACACTTCGCTCCTGTCTACTAGAGAGACGTGCTCAGGGGACAACTGCTCCACAGCTAGGGAACCTGGGATAAGAATTTAGGGCCACCTAAAGGCCGGCCACCACAGGGAGGAAGGTGCTCAGAACTCTGTGGAGAGCCAAGCTGCCTTCAGAGGCCACTGCTTCGGCCCCAGGGCGGGGAGCAGCCCCCGGAACCTGGAAGTATCACCTGGGATCCTCTCCCTGGCGGGAGCCGGGTCACTCCCTGTGACTCCACCGCCAGTCCGGAATGCCCGCTGGCGCAGAGACGAAGAGCACCACCCACCCCCAAGCCCTTTTGTTTGGCCCTGTGACCTTAAGAAAGGGGGCCAGCCTGAAGATGACACCAGGAAGGAGGTAAGCCATGGAGGTGGGAGACGTTGCTCCAGGGCCACTCACGTAGTTGGGTGCAATGTCCTGGACGGTGTGCTCCACGCCATCATCCACAACCACCACAGTCACCCCTCGCCCAGTGACGTTGCGCTCCCACACACCTGTCACGTTGATGTCCCTGCCGGGGCTCCGCCGGTTATTCTGTAGGAGAGGGAGGGTTGGGAACTGTTCTCAGAGCCTTGGGGATCCAGTGACACACAGCATGGCCCCTGGGGACAAGTTACAGCTAGCAGCCCCTTTTCTCTCCTGGCCACCATCAAAGAGCCTGATATAGGCTGCAGACTGTTAGGTCTAAGTGGGGACAGAGCCAAGGAGGGACAAGCGAGAGCTCTGCCACAGCCTAGTCCCCGGGACAGCCTGGTATCACTCACAAGCAGCCCAGGTGGCATGGTGGCTAGAGCTACTGGCTGGAAGATACAATTATTACGCTGTAAAATAAACATAATAGGATGTTAGCAGTTGACGCAAAGTGTCTACCACGTGTCAGGCGCACACATATTGGTTCCCTCATCCTAACCGTAACTCTGTAAGGAAGGCACCATGACAATCTCCATTTCACAGAGGAGGACGCCGAGGCACAGAGAGGCTCAGTGGCGTGCCCAAGGGCGCCTGCTAGAAGTGGCAGAGCTGGACTTTGAGCCCACGCAGCCTGGCCTCAGCAGCCACGTCCTAACCACGAGAGTCCACTGGCTTCTAGAAGTGAGCCCAGGAGGGTGGAGCCGGAGGATGGGGACACGCCCAAAGACAACAGATACGTGTCCGCAGGCAGACAGAGGATGGGGGTGACTGCACAGTAAGACAGTCAAAAGCCCATGGAAGGATTGGATACCCAGAAGCTACCCATCTGAAGCTGAAAACTGCAGGCCTGGACTCACCAGGTGCCATTGTTGTGGGTACTTGGGGTCATTGAAGTGGACGCTGCGCTTGGCCCGCTTCAGCAGCCTCTGCTCTGAGTGCCAGCGCACAGCTTCGTGCCTGGCCAGCACAGCCTCCGTCTGCTGCCGGATGGCCTCCACCTGCTCATCCTGCCGGTGTCCAGCTGGCTGGACCAAGAGGTAGAACCCCTGGAGCTCCCCAATGCGTCCAGCATTCACCAGCCCCGCTGCCTGGGCCAAGGCATCTGCCTGTTGCTCCAGTGTCTCTTCTTCCTGCTCACCTTCCAGCTTGTCCAGATGCACAGCCCAGCTTAGCCCCCCTGGACCCTCAGCCCCAGGCCCATCTGTCCTTGCCAGGCCCATGACCCAGGGAAGCAGTAAGAAGAGCCAGGCTAACTCCAGCCAGAGGCAGGTGGACAGGCCCCAGAGGGCTTCCAGGTGTGGCACTTTCTGCCTCCCCTTCGGCATCAGAGCAGCAGGCTACAGATAAAGAGAAAGGACATCAGAGATAAAAGAGCTGATAACTGCGGGGGTCTGAGAGGGAGACTGAACCACCGAGTACTACAGCTACCCAGAAACCCCTATTCCATTTTAAACGTTTGACAGAAATGTTCGATCCTCTCTTTTTATTCACATGTATCCCTGAACAACAGGGATAAGCCCCCAGTGGGTGGAGCAGTACTAACCCCAGGTGGTACCTCCAGGGCATGACGGGCCAAGTCCCGCCTGACCAGCTCGCGGAGCAGCATGTCAGTTGCACAAGGCAGCAGACTGCTCCTTCCCACTGTGGCCATGAGAAGGGCTCACAAACCCTATCACTCCCCCAAACTACTGGCAGAGTCACGACTCTTTTTAGAAGAGACCCTCCTCCCTTATTTAGAGGGGACACAAATCTTTCCCCCACTGACTTCTCAGTCCAGCTGTCCTCAGGGCCGTGGGGCCCCAGGCCCACCTGGACTCCATGTGAGGTTGAGCTCCTGGTCTGCTTAACCACCTCACGCTCATTTTGCGCAAATGGAGAAAAGGGATCACTTCCACTGCGAGTTGTGTTCGCTCTGAGCACAGATTGCAGGCCTGTGGGCCCCAAGCAAAGAAGAAACGGTGTCCTTCCAAACCCAGTGGAGCAAGCAGAGGCTCACCATGATCTCCAGGACCTGTGAGCAGAGAAACTGGCCAATGGTCAGGATCATTTCCAGGGAACTGGGGTGTAGACTGGAACAGGACTGGTATAGTAAGGCACAATCAGCTCACAACCCTGAAACCCTACTTCTTGCCCTACCCATCATGCCACCCTCTTTTCTTTCTTCCTAGAGGCCCCGGACTATTACCAAAACCACTCTTGAAAACGCAGGCAGTCCTGCTCCCTAGAAGTCCGGGTGGTAGCTAACGTCCTGATCTCTGTATCTCTGAAGGATGCCCGGAGAAGTAAGAGTAGGCAGGAGGCAGGGGAAACAGGGAAAAGCCGAGAACACAAACCAAAGTGAACAGGCGTAACGGGCAAGTGGGTAGCAGTGAGGGACGAAATGAATGGAAAGGGGCACTAAAGGCCTTCGCTGCCTGTGGGCCCTCGCTCAGCAGGTGGGCTTGGAAGGGAGAGCGCAGGCTCCGGGGACAGCCACTCACAGTTTGACAGAAGGGCCAACTTAGAACTCGTGGGGACCTGGACAGGTGAACGGGTGGCAGAACATGTGTACCTGGCGACGGCTGGACCCCTTCAGAAACACCTGCCCTCTACTGACATCACCCTGAGGCGGGACTTGGAACCCACACACGTACCCCTGATGTGACTCAAGACATTACAGAAACATGGGTATTTCACCGAAGTCTCTTTGGAAAGAGACCAGGGGTCTTAAGTGACCTAACATTTCCCTCCAAAAGTCTGCATCCCACACCTGCTCTTCTTTCCTTAGGTTCCCAGGCATGTTCCCTCTCACAGTCCTTCCTGCCCTCCAGCAGCCTAGATTTCCCGAGATACTCGGACGTCTTTCCCAATCTGCGTACCTTGCTGTGTGAAATAAAATCTTGTTAGACAGCTAGAGAGTGACCCTTCCAGGGCCCTTCAGTCTCAGCCGATCCCGCAGATTTCCGGAAGCACGGAGAAACCTGACCACCACTTCCTCCTTTCCCTCGTGCAGGGCAGTACTTGACCCCTACCCTCCACTCCAGACTCCAGTTTCTGGAACGGAACCTCAAATACCCTCTGACAGCAGATCACAACCTCATGCAACTGCCAGGAGCACCTTCACAGCTCGTAGGCGCCGAGGGGGAAGAGGAATGATGCGGGCAACCCAGGGTCCAGGGCTCTGCGCCCAAACACTGTCCCGTCGCCGTCTCTACACCCTGTTCCTAAAACCAGGCTGCGCACAGGGGTCAGGCTCGCCGATTCCCTCTCCCCGACCTCGACTGCCCGGGGCAAGGTGCCCCCTCCTCAGAGGGAAGCACTCTATCCCGGAGCCCAAGCCCCCGGTGCGCCGAGACCTGGGCGCCCCCGCGCCGGGCCCGAGGGCGCGCTCCGTGCAGCCCCTCGGCTCCCCGGGTTCCAGGCGCCCGGACTCCAGGGCCCCGCCCCCACCGAGCTCCCCACTCACCGGCCCGGCCGCCGCCGCCGCCGCCGCCGCCGCCCCCCCTGCGGAAACTCGCGGCTTCCAGGGAGCGCGAGGACCCAGTGACAGTAACATCACTTCCGCTGCGGCGCGGCCAATCGGCGGCGGGTCCCCGGCGCACACCCGCTGCCGGCGGCGCTGGGGCCGGTCCTGCGGGCGGGCGCCCGGCCGGGGAGCGTGCGGCGGTGGCAGGCTCTGCCCGCTGGGCCCCGCCGCCCCGAGGCCTCAGTCATCCTCCAGGGGCGCCCTCCCCGGAGGGAGCACCTTCCCGGTGTCCTCTGGAGAGGGCATCACGGTTGCGATCTTTAAAAACACCTCGTCCCTCTTCTCCCCTGAGCACCAGCGCCCCGGTTCTCCCTACGGCCCCCCCAGAGGGGCTCCTCCCTCCGGCACGTGTCCTTCCGTCCGGCGGGCGCGTCTCCCAGCTTCCCTGCGCCCCCGGGAGTCGCCTCGCATCTCGTAGGGTTTCCGGGCTCCCGACCGTGCCAGCTCGGGCCGCCAGAGGGCGCCGTCGGGGGAGGCGCGCGCCACCGCGGCTGCTCCTCTCCCGGCCGGGCCCCGCCCCCTCCGCTCGTGCCGCCGGAAGTGGGCGGTGTCGCGCGCTCGGCCCTGCGCTCGCCCCCTCCCCCCAGGCTCGGCGCCCCCTCCCCCCGCTCCGCCCGCTCAGGTGCGTCCGTCCCTCCCCCGCTCTCCTCCGGGGCCGCCGCGCGGGGGGGTGTGTGTGTGTGTGTGCGGGGCGCGCGCGGAGAGGGGGCTGCGGCGCGGGGGCGCGGGCGGGGGGCGCGCCGGGGGGCGTGGAGGGGTCGCGAGGCCCGGGACGGCGGCCTGGCCTGCGCGGCGGACCGGGGCTGGCAGCCGGGGTGGGGGGCGAGGGGAAGGTGCGCGGCGCGCTGGCCGGGGGCAGCGGCCCGCTTGGCGGCCCCCCGAGGAGCGCGGCCGTGGCCGCCGGCGCCGCTTCTCCCCATTGTCCCCTTCGCGCCGGCCCCGTCTCCTCCCCGGGCACCCGTCGCTGGCGGTCGCCGCTGCTGGCGGTGCGGGGATGCCTGGCGCCTCGGACTCCGCCAGACGAACCTGCCCCGCTCCGCCCTGGGCCCTCCGGCGCGGGAGGTGCCCGGATGACCCCTGTCCCGGGCTGCCGTTTCCCGGGCCCCGAGGGCCCCCGACCCTGAGCTCTCGGGGCAGGATGTTTGCACCCGAGGGAGCAGTAGCGGCGATTTGGGGCCCGTTTTCTCCCAGGAGCTTTGTGTAGTGGCAGAAAGGGAGGCGCCGAGGGTCTCTGGCCTGTGAGAGACCGAAGCGTTGACACATGCTTGCTTGCGCGCTCTGGGGGGCCCAGGGGTGATGCTATCAAAATAAAAACAAGAATTTAGAGTAACCCAATGGTGACCCCCACCCCAGTATTCTTTTCTTCCCCTTTTCCTCACCGTAGAGGGTCAGGAGTTTGCCCTGGGACCTAAAGGGTGACGTTTTGATCTACGAGAGGCATGTGCCCCGGGTTCCATACTCGGATATTCCTGTTTTCCAGCTTCTGGTTTTCGTGCTAGAGAAACCAAGATTCTCCCAGTCTTTTGCACCCCTACCGTGACTCAGTCAGAGTCGGTACTTTCCTCCGTCGGTGGTTATCAAACTTTCCGCGTCTGTGGGGAACTCAGTAAAGGATGTTTGGATTGCCCGATAGAGTATTGCTCTCTTTTTCACACACAAACACCTCCAAAAAAAACCTCACTTAAATTAATGGAGAATGCTTTTGATGTAACAGCCATAAAATGATTTTTAAAACACAGGAAATTATCGGTATTAGGGCAAAAAATACATCCTTTATAAGTGATTTTAGGCAAAGTAGGTGTGTGGACCATTTGGAAGATTCTCAGACTATGGTCTACTGTTTCAAACGACTGCCTTTTTGCCAAAAGTGAGAAAGCTTTGCACAGATGCCTAGATATTTATACAAATATGGTGATTCCTAAGGGCTGACGTCCACGGGACCTAGTGTGAGAAATGGCTCTTCTACTATCCTGCTACAGAATACTCTGAAGTATTTTCTCCTAGAGCCTAATTTTTTCTTTGTGTTTCTTTCCCGGAACAACCCTGTTGTATGGACGTTCCGAGGGGACAAGATCCTTGTGTTTTAAAATTTTGGAATTTGTAGCCTGTAATTTGTTTCTGAATGTACAGAGCGTGATGGCGGCATCTGAGGTAGCTGGTGTGGCCAGTGTCCCCAATTCTCCGGAATCCTCTTCTAATTTATGTGCTTCCAGATCAGAGGACGGTCTCCCAGATGGTCTAAGGTAACGTGTGGATTCTTGACTGGGAAGGTTTTATTTGGGAAAAGGGCTTTCGAGATGGGCCTCTCAAGGAAGTGTAGCTGGTCTTTGCTCTCTGGGGCTCTAGTGACACTAGGTTAAGCTTTTTAAAGGTAGGGACTGACTGATCTGTATTCGCATTTCTGGTACCTAACACAGCTTCTGACACCAGCAGGCCTGCTAAATATTTGTTGAATAAATAGGTAAGAGCACAGGGGATCAAACTCATCCCAAAATGCACATGTTTCCCCCACCTTATCCTACATAGACTATATATCCATTTAAATATATGCTTATATATGTTTATGTATATACATGTAAATCTGTACTCATAGATGTAGATATATATACATGTAGACACATTTACATTTATACACAGATAAATGTGTGTGTGTTCGTATTTATTTATAGATAAATAGGTAGGCTTGCTAGAATTTTTTTACTCCTTCATGTATACCTTTTGCCTTCCATCCAAACTGTTGAGGGCAGGCATTACAATTAACCAGCCTTGCATCTTGCCGGGCTTGACACATTGTATGTACAGTGTTGTACTAAACTGACTCTGTATCTCCTCAACTCTTTTCTAGAGTACCTAGAACCTAACTCAATAGATAATACTATACTAACAGCTTTATCTGTATTAACATGTGTAATCCTGTTAATAAAACAATCCCAGGAGGTAGGTGCTAATATTATTATTCCCATTTACAGGTGATGAACTGAGACACAGAGAGGTTAGTAACTTGGCCAAGGTTACCGAGCTATGTTGGAGTCAGGGTTTGAACCCAAGCTTGTCTGACTCCACAGTACTTAGTAAATATTTTTTTCAATGAAGAGAGGTTTGTTAGTGAGTGGATAATAGGCAAAAATGTTAAGTAAACCTAACCATAAACGCAAATCTTCATTTTATAAATAAAATGTGCCACGTACTATTACTAGTAATAATAACACTAAGGTTTACTGAGTGTTTACTATGTGCCAGGCACTGTACTAAATGTGTCATATGCATTACTCGTGTAATCTTCACTGTAATCCTCTTAGGTGGGTAATACCTTTACTCTTTTACAAGTGAAGTTAAGTGACTTGCCCAGAGTCAAAGCACTAGTGAATGGCAGAGTCAGGATTCACACCGAGGTACTGCATGTGCCCAAATTAATAATCAAGTGTCCCCCCCACCCCTCAACTCCCAGCAGGGAATCAGCTTAGAGTGCTTATAAAGATCTTCACTTCAACAATTTTCTGTTGTTTTATTTTGAACAGCAAGTACTTTTGAGATTCAGAAGGCAGTGACCTGAAGCGTCAGTCAGTGCTAGTTTGGGGTGCGTAAGGGTGTCAGTTGACAGAGTCAGTTTTTTAAAAATAGGGGGCAAAGAAATTTAATACAGATTTAGTCATTATTCCTAGGTGAAAAACTTAGTTATGAATGTTAGACGTCATTGTAAGTAGGTTTTGAAGATCTCTTTAAAAAGCAATGTGTTAAATGGCTGGGGCAAACAGCTATCCCAGTGTTACGGATATAGTTGTCACCTGGGCTAAAATTTCTACTGACAGCTTCAATTTTGGATTCACAGTTGTACTTCAGACAACCTGAAGATGCTATGTTCTGGAAAATTGTTGGAGAACCTGAAGAGTGGTTCTTGTCAAAGATCTGTATAATTAACTTGAAGGCAAATTATTTTTGCGAAACATGAGACTGGAATAAAAACTATTCCTAAGTTACTACTTTATTTAATAAAATATGTGTAAGTAAATTAGTACATGCAACTAAATGGAGTATTCTGACTAGCATTAGGCTGTTTCATCCCCAAAAGTTCTTCAAATTGGCCCTCAACATGTTTTTTAGATCTGTTATTTGTGTGATTGTTTATTTACTGTCTCCAGACGGTAAATGTCTCCAGACAGTGACTGTCTCCAGAACCCAAGTTTTTAACCACTAAGCTATGCTTGCAGCATTTGGGCTAAAAATCACTGGATAGAAACCAAGTTCCTGTTCATCCTGATAATTTTGGGGGTGGGGGATGGGTTGTACTGTCTAGTTGTGTTGTTCTAGTGGTTACATTGGAAGTATTACAGATTTAATCCTGTTTAAAATTGAGTGAAGAGAGAAACTTTATCTTCTGTTTTTGATAGCCCCAGAGACCCCGCAGAGAAGCACAAGAGCTCGCCGCTGCCGAGTGTAAGTAACCAAACGATAGCCAAGGAGAGTAACAGAAATGCCCATTTGGAGCAGCCAGAGCAGAGTCCTGGTTCATCAGCAGGTGACACGGCAGCAGCGCACCGGGCGGTGTTAGGAGAGAACGTGCTAGCCACAGCCCTTTGTCTCCCTGGCGGTGGGTCTCAGTCCGATGTGAAGGACGTGGCCAGCACAGCAGGAGAGGAGGGGGACACGTGCCTCCGGGAGAGCCTCCACCCCGTCGCTCGGTCTCTTAAGGCAGGGTGTCATACAAAGCAGCTTGCCTCCGGGAGTTCTGAAGAGAAACCCCCACGAGCCTCCGTCCTAGAGGAAGGTAGCAGGGACGCAGGCTTGGATTTCCGACCTATAGTGGCTCCGGCAAGTGGGCTTGAAGGAGTCAGTGTGGATCAGGATGGTGATCAGGATAGCTCTTCCCCGAAGCTTTCTCAGAACATTGCTGTCCAGGTCAAGTATGAAGTTTCTACTACTAACATGGAATCGGGGCTTTTGTTTATTTTTTCATTACTTTTTGAGGGTAGGACACATCTCTTGACAGTTGGTGGAGAACTACTCTGTCTCGTCTTTTTACTGGCACCTGGCATACAGTTTTCATCCAGTGCTGTGCGACGCCTTCATTCTGGTGTTCAGTAAATGGTGAAGCCAGGAGCCAGTGTCTACATGGTGACTAGGACCTTTGTGGCCTACGTATAATCTCTCTTACTGAGTGATTGATGGGCATAGGTCATTAGCATTCATATTCCCGGGCTTTGTCCCTGCAGGAGGGACCCTTGTTCATTCTCTGACCTGCATCTTACATGCAGTGTATCTGCCTTCTAGTGACTGGTGTGCTTTTTTGTAGGAGGAAGGAGGGGCCCAATAGGTAGTAAGGGGCAAAGTTCTTATCTCAGACTTGAGGCTCCTTTCTGTCAGTTGTTGGACCTTGTCCAGGTGGTTTTGCGGGACAAACGCTTGACGCAGTGTGAGTGTCAGCGTCCATGTGCTAGAACCACCTGCTCCTCTGGCCACGAGGCCTGATAAGGGGGAAGAGAAAGAAGTCAGCTTCTCAGTTACTTGACGCAGATTTCCAGGTGAAGGCACTAGAGTAATTCTACCTTTTAAAATATCTCTGAACAGTTCTGAATGTAATTGTTTCTTTCTTTATAGACTGACTTTAAGACAGCTGATTCAGAGGTAAATACAGATCAAGATATTGAAAAGAATCTGGTAAGTATTTAAGCTGTCATTGTTGACGTGACAGACCTTTAATGCGCAGGAGCTAGTGATGTCCGCTCAGTTGGAGAGGGTGCAGGAACCTCCTTTATAAAATTCCTGACAGTTGGTCAGCTAACTTCTGCTCGATCACTTCTAGAGATGGGAAGCTTACTGCTCACAAGGCAGCCTGTTGCATTTTAAAAATAGCTCTTATTGTTAAGTCTTATTCTGAGATGAGGACAGAACCGCTAAAGTTTCTTGTTAACAGGTTTTTTTGAGGTCTGTAGAGTCAATCTAAATCCTTTTTCTTGTTAGCCCTGTAGACAGTTGAAGTTTTTTTAATACGGCTTCCTCTTACGCCTCAAATCTGAACTTCTGCAGGTGAAACATCCCCAGATGTTTTAACGTTATTCTTTTCTTCATAAAATGCTTTTTAGTCTTTTCATCATCCTGGTTACTTTTTCACCTAGACATGTTCCATCTTATCAATGTTTTTTTAAAAATGTGACCCTGAGAACTAAATGCAATAACCCAAATGCAACACAGTTTACCATGCCCTGGGGTGCTCGTTCTCTTTCTCATTCCAGACACCATTTCTTAAGCTTACCTTGGCTTATTTCGGCAGTCTCGTCCCACTGGTGAGCTTGTCTGGGGAGCCTTAGTCACATTTCAGTAGGTGGACAGTGGCCTCACTTACCCAAAATAAAACCCTGTTCTGAGAGCTTATTTTTTAATCATAATGTGATGTTCTCCCATTCACTTCTCAAGCCTTTATTGTCTTTGAAAATGGTTATCTTTTAGTGAATAAACTCAGTTTAATGCTCTAGGTTCAAATTTTACATGAACTACCTTATGCCAAATGTGCTTTAAGTGGGCCCTCTAAGTTTTAGTGTCCCTTTGACAGGTAACCACTGACTTTCTTGATCTGCTGATATGAGGCAGAGCTGGGCTGTGGTCCTGGGAAGCCTCACGTGTGCCCCTAGTTTATGTGAGAGCTCTCTGATTTGCCCATCTGAATCCAGGTTCCCCAGACCTCCTTAGTGGATTTGTCCATTTTCAGCACAGATGACCAGTAAGGAACCTTATTTCTGGGTACGTTTTGAATAGGTGATCTGTTCTATGTTTTTTTTTTCCCTTTCTTTTCTTCTCACTCACCATGGATGGTAAAGGTCTCCTTCCTTTATTCCCCAGGGCAGGGATTGGCAAAACTTCTGTAAAGGGTCAGATAATAAATGTCACAGGCTTTTGGACTATATGGGAACTGTTGTAACCATGCTACTACAAGTAGCATGAAGGCAGATCTAAAGCCATTGGATATCGCTGCATTCCTATAAACTTTTATTTATAGAAACAGGCACCGGCTGGATTTGCCCCACAGGCGGTAGGTTGCCAGACCCCACCCTAGAGCAGCATTTTACAATAGTATTTCCTGTAATGGGGGAAATGTTCTGTATCTGCGCTAGTCACGTGTGGGTACTATGTGGGTACTTGGGATGTGCTGTTATTGACGGTCTGGAATTTTAAGTTTTCTTATTGTAAGTAATTTAAGTTTATATAGCCACACATGGCTGGTAGCTACAGGATTGGACACTGCACCCTAGACTCTGTGCGATGCCTTAACAGGCACATGGTGAATGTGTCTTACAGTTAAATTGGGTGTTGAATTTTTCTTCTGTTGTTACCAATAGGATAAAATGATGACAGAGAGAACCCTGTTGAAGGAGCGTTACCAGGAGGTGCTAGACAAGCAGAGGCAAGTGGAGAATCAGCTCCAAGTGCAGCTAAAGCAACTCCAGCAAAGGAGAGAAGAAGAAATGAAGAATCACCAGGTATTCTGCTGCATTGGCACTGCCCATAAGTAAAGCTACAGCCCTTAACCAAACTCTCAGTTTGTTCCCACATTAATACAAGTGAAAGATCAATATTTAACTTGTTAATGGCTATCATAGAATTTTAAGGATTAAAAAAAAAAACCTTTGTGAGCATCTTGTCCAAACTCTCACTTCTATTTTAGTCTAGAGGAAAAAGAATTATTTAATATATTTTGTTGACATCATCTACCCTCTGTCTGGAAAACTATGCAATTAGATGCTTACATTACATGATATTAAGAAATACAATTCTAGGTAGATTAAAAATCTACATAAAAAAATTGGAAAAATATTTTCAACTAGAAGAAAATTTAGGAGAATATTTATAAAACTTTAAGTTGGAAGAGATCATATTAATCTAGGCAGAAAACCTGGAAGTTGTTAAAAAGATGAATCAATGTAATTATACATAATGAAAAATTTTTGATACAGCAAATGATACAAAAAAGTCAAAAGACCAATGTTAGACTGAGAGAAAATATTTGTAGGACAGCTGGCGGTATAAGTATTTGATGACATTCTGAGGTTCCTACAAATTCATAGTAAAAGTCAAATACTCTAGGGAAAAACCAGGGAAGGTTACTGTATTCGTTTTCTATTGCTGCTATAATGTTAACCACGAATTTAGTGGCTTAAAACAACCCAACTGTATTATTTTGCAGTCCTGTAGATTTAACGTGGTCTCACTGGGCTGATGCCAAGACACTGGCAGGTTTGCTTCCCTTCTGGGGGCCCTGGAAGAGGATATGCTTCCCTGCATGTCCACCTTCTAGGGTCTGCTGCATTCCTGCACTTGTGGCCCCCTTCTCCATCTGTGACTATTCTTCCCTGATCACTTCTTCCTCTGATGACAACTGGGAAAGGTTCTCCTCTTGTAAACACCCATGAGATTAGAGTGGGCCCACCCATTCAGTCCTGGACTGTCTCCTCATCTCCAGGTCTGATCCATAATCACATCTGCAGAGTCTCTTGTCCCGTGGAACGTAATGTATTCACACACACATACAGGGTGATATATATAAAATGACTTCATTTTGAAAAAGGAAGCAAAGAAATGCATCCCTGAGCACACATGGGTTTGTGTGAGAATGGCAAAGATGGGAGCATAGCACAAAACAGTTACTGTATTGGTTACTTTAAGGGTAGAATTGCTGTGAATTAGGGAGTGATTGACGTCATCACTTTTTTATTATTTGACTTCTTATTACGAATAGGTTTTCTTTGTTAAATAGTAAAACAAAAACCGGAAAATAACCTCACAAAGTAGAACTGTTTCTAAAGAAAGAAGACTGTATCTGTTGGAAGCAACGAACTCCCACCCTGTGCGAGCACACCTTTGTCAGCATTCTTGACAGGTGTTCATTTACCCAGTTTTTGAACACTAGTAATGGAGAATTTAGTGCTTCACAAGGCAGTGAATTCCATTTTTGACCAGTTGTGATTGTCAGAAATTCTTTCACCTGCTGATAGGAAATCTGCTTTATTGTAAATTTCTCCTTTAAACCTAAATTCCGGCTTTTGGAGCTACTCATCAACCGTATTTCTATAATTCGGTTTGAAGTCAATATGGTTAATTAGCAATAGTTGAAAATGACCTTCAGACCAAAAGAACTAACTCATTTCCTTCTTCATTTGCATGTGGCTGTAATTGTGTGGGACACAGGAAATATTGAAGGCCATCCAGGATGTAACAATAAAGCGAGAAGAAACAAAGAAGAAGATAGAGAAAGAAAAGAAGGAGTTCTTGCAGAAGGAGCAAGATCTGAAAGCTGAAATCGAGAAGCTTTGTGAGAAGGGCAGAAGGTAAATGATGCTGTTAAGAACACGACCTCTGTGTGTATGTGTGTATTTGTGCAACGGGCCAGTTCTGTTTGTGTTTCTACTTTCTCGTCTTTCAGTCTAACATTTTTTTGTATTAAGGTATCATTGATATACACTCTTAATGAAGGTTTCATATGAAAAGCAATGTGGTTGCTACATTCAGCCATATTATCAAGTCCCCCCATACTCCATTGCAATCACTGTCCATCAATGTAGTAAGATGCCGCAGAGTTACTACTTGCCTTCTCTGTGCTACACTGTCTTCCCCGTGATCCCCCCACACCATGTGTACTGATCATAATATCCCTCCATCCCCTTGTCCCTCCCTCCCCCACCCCTCCCCTTTGGTAACCTCTAGTCCCTTCTTGGAGTTTGTGAGTCTGCTACTGTTTTATTCCTTCAGTTTTGCTTCGCTGTTATACTCCACAAATGAGGGAAATCATTTGGCATTTGTCTTTATCTTCCTAACTTATTTCACTGAGCGTAATACCCTCTAGCTCCATCCATGTTGTTGCAAATGGTAGGATTTGTTTCTTTCTTATGGCTGAATAATATTCCATTGTGTATATGTACCACCTCTTCTTCATCCATTCTTCTACTGATGGACACTTAGGTTGCTTCCATATCTTGGCTATTGTAAATAGTGCTGCAATAAACATAGGGGTGCATGTGTCTCAGTCTAACTTTTATTTGAAAAACAAGAGCAGAAATAAAAATCCTCCAGTAGTTTAGCCTTTTCAGCATCCCATATTAGATTTAATTTAAAAAAATTACACAGATTCATTAATGTTTTGAAATAAATAGCAGCAAATTGTTGGGTCCCAAATGTGATGAGGATTTTTATAAGTATCTAACACAACACCTATTGCATTTACTTTATAACCTGATCTTTTTAAGGTTCAGGTTGTGAGAATACTTTGATTATACTTACATTATTCAGCACGAAAATAAAATTTCAAATAGTATCACTATAAGCTGTTTGGAAAAAATTATTAGTGGATCCATGTCCACTTCTGGGTATTGCAGCAAGAGCCAGGTGGGCCTAGAATTTGGGCAGATTTTCAGTTTTCCATGTTTCTCAATATGAGCTATTTGGAAGTCAGAATAACTGTGAATACTGTGATGATTTTGTTTAAATTCAACTAAAATGCATTTTTATTTATCAAGAAAATTCTGGCTTGCTCATGTGTGAGAGAACTAAGTGAGAGGTAGCAAACTTATTTGCTGAATCATTTCCCAGGTGTGAAAGGTGATAGCCGTGGAATGTCAACACGAGAAAGAATGCTGGGAAAGGGACTAAAGACCAATCAGTTGTTCTGTTGAAAATCGAATGAGAATGACTTGAAGATGGGTCGGTTGTCCATGATGATCCATGTAGTGCGATCATGAAGAGTGTACCAGGAGCAGAACACTGTGCCAGGCATTGTTAGCAATAAAAACAGCTCCCACCTCAGCCCAACAACAGGGCCTCTGCCGTTGTCTTCACAGTCCGTGGGGGGAGAAGAAGCATAGTCAGGTGCATGTAAGCAGCTCAGCGGCGGGTGCCTTGAACAGCGCGAGTTGGGAAGGTGGTCTATGCTTTTATTCTAGGTCCTGTGATGAAACATCCTTCTGATGTGTACTCTTTACATTGTGAGTGCCCGTCTGTCTTCACCAACTGGTTGGGTACCTACAAATGGTGACTCATACAGTTTGCTGCTCGTGTTCTTGAAAATCCAGTTGTTTTTTAATGTATGTCATGAGTGTCAGAGAGGTGCTTTCTGTCGTTCTTCCTGTTAAAGAGGGGTCGTTTTTCCAGAAGTATGGGGAGGTTGTCTGCCCCGTGTGTCTTTGTTCTAGCCGGGATTGAGGTTTTGTGTGGCATTCCATCGTCCATGGGAACTGTAAGCACAAAGATTTTGGTCCCTGTATTGTATGCTCAGGCTGCCACGTGGAATGAGCTCCCTGGGTGGCTTAAACAACAGAAATCTGTCTTCTCACAGTTGCAGAAATCCAAGGTCAAGTTGCTGGCAGGGTTGGTCTCTGGCGAGGCGTGTCTGTTTGGCTCGCAGACACAGCCGCCTTCTTGCTGTGTCCTCCACGGCCCTTTCTCTGTGTGCGTCACTCCTGTCTTCTCCTCTTGGATAAGGACACAAGTCTTATTTGATTAGAGCCCCATCCTTATGACCTCATATAATTTCCATTACTTCCTCGTAGGTCCTGTCTCTACATACAGTCACAGTACAGATTAGGGCTGCAACATAGGAAATCTGGGGGGATACACAGCATATACCGGTCATATTTCCTGTTAATAGCTGGTTCTTTCTTTCATTTATTCAGCCATCATTTTTTAAGTGTCTACGATGAGCCAGGCTATAATGTTTCATTCTCCAGAGAATGAAAAGTCCTCATAATGATACCGTATAGTGGTGGTATGAGAGCACTTAGAAGAGGCGTGTAACCTACACTCGGGGGCGGGAATCAGGGCTTCGTGGAGGAATTGATTCCAGCATTGAGTCCTGAAAGGTGATGAATAATATTCCATTGTGTATATGTACCACCTCTTCTTCATCCATTCTTCTACTGATGGACACTTAGGTTGCTTCCATATCTTGGCTATTGTAAATAGTGCTGTGATAAACATAGGGGTGCATGTGTCTCAGTCTAACTTTTATTTGAAAAACAAGAGCAGAAATAAAAATCCTCCAGTAGTTTAGCCTTTTCAGCATCCCATATTAGATTTAATTTAAAAAAATTACACAGATTCATTAATGTTTTGAAATAAATAGCAGCAAATTGTTGGGTCCCAAATGTGATGAGGATTTTTATAAGTATCTAACACAACACCTATTGCATTTACTTTATAACCTGATCTTTTTAAGGTTCAGGTTGTGAGAATACTTTGATTATACTTACATTATTCAGCACGAAAATAAAATTTCAAATAGTATCACTATAAGCTGTTTGGAAAAAATTATTAGTGGATCCATGTCCACTTCTGGGTATTGCAGCAAGAGCCAGGTGGGCCTAGAATTTGGGCAGATTTTCAGTTTTCCATGTTTCTCAATATGAGCTATTTGGAAGTCAGAATAACTGTGAATACTGTGATGATTTTGTTTAAATTCAACTAAAATGCATTTTTATTTATCAAGAAAATTCTGGCTTGCTCATGTGTGAGAGAACTAAGTGAGAGGTAGCAAACTTATTTGCTGAATCATTTCCCAGGTGTGAAAGGTGATAGCCGTGGAATGTCAACACGAGAAAGAATGCTGGGAAAGGGACTAAAGACCAATCAGTTGTTCTGTTGAAAATCGAATGAGAATGACTTGAAGATGGGTCGGTTGTCCATGATGATCCATGTAGTGCGATCATGAAGAGTGTACCAGGAGCAGAACACTGTGCCAGGCATTGTTAGCAATAAAAACAGCTCCCACCTCAGCCCAACAACAGGGCCTCTGCCGTTGTCTTCACAGTCTGTGGGGGGAGAAGAAGCATAGTCAGGTGCATGTAAGCAGCTCAGCGGCGGGTGCCTTGAACAGCGCGAGTTGGGAAGGTGGTCTATGCTTTTATTCTAGGTCCTGTGATGAAACATCCTTCTGATGTGTACTCTTTACACTGTGAGTGCCCGTCTGTCTTCACCAACTGGTTGGGTACCTACAAATGGTGACTCATACAGTTTGCTGCTCGTGTTCTTGAAAATCCAGTTGTTTTTTAATGTATGTCATGAGTGTCAGAGAGGTGCTTTCTGTCGTTCTTCCTGTTAAAGAGGGGTCGTTTTTCCAGAAGTATGGGGAGGTTGTCTGCCCCGTGTGTCTTTGTTCTAGCCGGGATTGAGGTTTTGTGTGGCATTCCATCGTCCATGGGAACTGTAAGCACAAAGATTTTGGTCCCTGTATTGTATGCTCAGGCTGCCACGTGGAATGAGCTCCCTGGGTGGCTTAAACAACAGAAATCTGTCTTCTCACAGTTGCAGAAATCCAAGGTCAAGTTGCTGGCAGGGTTGGTCTCTGGCGAGGCGTGTCTGTTTGGCTCGCAGACACAGCCGCCTTCTTGCTGTGTCCTCCACGGCCCTTTCTCTGTGTGCGTCACTCCTGTCTTCTCCTCTTGGATAAGGACACAAGTCTTATTTGATTAGAGCCCCATCCTTATGACCTCATATAATTTCCATTACTTCCTCGTAGGTCCTGTCTCTACATACAGTCACAGTACAGATTAGGGCTGCAACATAGGAAATCTGGGGGGATACACAGCATATACCGGTCATATTTCCTGTTAATAGCTGGTTCTTTCTTTCATTTATTCAGCCATCATTTTTTAAGTGTCTACGATGAGCCAGGCTATAA